ACCAGTTAGAGGCTACTGCAAACTCCTGGCAATAGATGATGGAGCTCAGATCAGGGCAATAGCAGCAGAGGTGATCAGAAGTGACATGCTAAGAGTTTTCATATACTTCGCCACATTGCTTTCTTAAAAGATTATCAATTGGTACTTGCACTAGCAGTATGTAAGTGCCTGTCTCACTGCCCCCTGCAGTTTTTTAATGCTCACTGGTATTTTGACTGACAATGGAAAGCTGATTTTAAAAGTCAAAGATTAAATCCCTAAATCCCTAAAAGCTTCTTTGGGATTTGTAAATATTGAGCTTTAATAATGTATCTTTGTTAATCTGTCTTTCCCCAATCCTTTCCAACTCCAAAGAAAATGCACCTCACTTTACCCCCCAATCATTTTCTGATTACAGAACTGAGGTAGCCAACTTGTCACCTAATTAGCAATATGGAGGTCTGCCACTTCTCAAGAAAAGAGTCAGGGCTTTAATCCGGGAAGCAAAGTGATCCAGTCTCATGGCTGAAATCTGTATTCAGCTTCACGTGAAAGACTGTGCAGCCAGAGGTAATCACACCCTTGTTATGTCATTTCAGATGCCTGTTACTTTAGGGGCAATTATAGGATTTTCCTTCAATGTTTCCAACTAGAATTATTTTTCATTCACTTGAATTTGGCAGGTATCAGAATGGCAGCATTAGAAGGAGCTTTATTTGGTCTAACTCGTCATTTTATAGATGACATCCCAGGCTGAGAAAAAGGAAAGGTCTCAGGGTCACAGATCGCTGAGGTTAGAAAGTACCTTAAAGGCCATTTGGTCTACTCTGACATTTGGGGCTAGAGCCTCCTCTACAACACGCTCACGGGATCATTCATTGCAGCCTTTACATCTCTAGTGACCATGAACTCCTTCCTTTCCCGAGACCTCCACGCCACTGTGAGACTGACTGCCTGAAAGTGACTTCTCATAGTTCACTGCACTTTATCTGTAGCTTCTACCCTTTAGAACAGAACAAATTTGAAGACAAATGCGCCCCCAATTACAGAACTTATCATACGGTACTTCAATGGTCTGTTTTCATTTCCCATCCTGCCCCCCTCTCCCCAAACTGTAAGCTCCTTGAAGGCACAGCTATGTCTCATTTGCCTCTACACAATAGCTCTTGGTCAGTTCCTCCTTCCCACTCCCTGCCTTGTCAATATACCACCCCTTCTCTCCCCTCAGTCTAGACAGCAAGCATCTGAGCTTCTCAAACACAGGGTAGTGATGAATAGTTTGTGTGGCCAGTAGAGAATATCCTTTCCCCACCATCAACTTTCCCTGTCCAAAAAGGCCATCACAGGTAAGTTGGGCTTCTTCCCCACAACTTTCCTGGTTTTGTTTTATTTTGTTTCCTTATCCCCAACTGATATTATTCATCTTGCTGCTTCTGTTGATGATGATGTTGGCATTTCTAATGCCTAGCACAGATAAGGCAGAGAATAGGTACTCAATGAAGAGATTACCAGGTGAGTTGTATTCTGGAGTCATGAGAGGTTTAAAAACAAAAGAAACAAATCCAACAGGATCCTTGGCCTTGAGAGGGTCACCAACTAATGAGGAAGAAAGATGATAAGTGGACAGTTAGAATGCAGCCTGAAAAGTGCTATGATAAGGATGGAGAGTGGGCAAAGAAGGGGCCTTCATCAACCAACATTTATTTAGTACCTATTGTCTGCCAGGGATTATACTCAGCACTAGGTGTCCCTGGATGTGGACAAAAAAAGGGGAGGAAGGAAGGACATTCCAGGCAGAAACATGGAGGGCAGCATTTTGGGAGCATCAATAAGTGGCTTGGCTTGCACCCTCCTTGGCTCTAAGAAGCAGGACTGATACGTTAACCACACTGAGAGAGCAGGTTGTCTTTTGGGGGCTTGATCTCATCATCTTGTCTTCTTGTGACCATGTCTCCCTTTAAAGTGGCTGGCCTTAACTTACCTTTCTAGTTCCATCTGTCCATTAACTATGCCTGAGTTTCATACTGCTAGACCAGACTTCTTTCCTGAACTCCTGGCTCATATCGTATCCAACTACCTACTCAACATCTCCACTTGGATGTCTGCTAGACATCAAGGCTATATGGTAGAGTGATTAAGAGCGTGGTCTCTGGAACTAGATCTAAGCTTAGGTTTGAATCCCAGAAACACCACTAATAATTTGTGTGATCTTGGGCCACTTATTTAATCTCTCAGTACTTTAGTTTTCCCATCTGTAAGATGGGACTAATAATATTACTTACCTAGTAGGTTGCTATAAGTATTAAATTAATTAAGACATCAAAGCACTAGGAGCCAGGCAAATAGTTAAAACTTCAAAAAGTTAGCTACTATTATTTCAAACTTACGATATTCAAAAATAAATTTTTACTTTCTATCCTCCAAATCTTTTACTTTACATCTCTTCCAAACCTGTTCCTCCAGTTTTCTCCACACCAGTAAAAATGACAACTCATTCTTCCACTTCCTCAGGCCAAAAACCTTAGAACCATCCTTGACTCTATTCTTTCTCTCCTATCCACATCTAATCCATCAGCAAATCCTTTCAGTTCCACCTTCAGAATACATTCAGAATCTGACCATATCTCATTGCCTACACACTTTCTAGCCTAGTCCAAATCAGTATTTCTCACCTAGATTATTACAATAGCTTCATAACTGGTCTCCCTGATTCTACCTTTGATTCAGTGCAGTCTATTTCCCACAGCAGCCAGATGGATCCTGTTTAAACACTAAATCAGATAAGGACACTCTTTAAGCCCTACAGTAGCTTTCCATGACAATCACAGTGAAATCCTTTTAACGACCCACCTAGGTTTCAGCTACCTCTCTAACCTCTCCTATTATTTGCCCCCAAGGTAATCTACTCCAGCCACAATGGCCTCTTTGCTCTTCTGTCAAATGTGTCAAGCACTTTCCCATCTCAGAGCCTATACCTCTTCTGTTCCTTCTTCCTGGAACTCGGTTCAAAGGTCACCTTTATATTCTTTGTAAACTAGTACTCTCAACTTTCATTACTCTCTCTATTCCTTATCCTGCCTTGTTTTCTTCACAGCAGTTATTAACCTGACACACTATATATTTACTTGTTTATGGGAGACTGTCTCCCACGGCTAGAATGTAAGCTTTAGGTCACAGCAGCACTTGCTAGTTTGTGGCTATTCCCTGCTGGAAGTCTCCTCCCAGCACACTCCAAAGACTCTCAAGACAGGCTCTGCCCCACCCAAGCCAGCAGAGTACGTTCCAGGTCCCGTCCTGGTCCTGGTCCTGGTCCTGGTCCCTCAAGGCTGCCTGGATCTGTTGAAGCTCATCAACAGTAAAGACATTGAGTTCAAATAATACACCACGTATATTTCACCCATTGCTCATACAAAAGATATTTTCACACCTGCTATTTCATTTGAGCCTTAAAACAACACTAACGTTATTTCCTCCCACT